AAATTATTTAAAAAATGAGTGATTAGAGTTCTCAGGTCTAAGCGACTGTCTTAGTCATCTAGTGCTGCTACAACAGAAATACCACAAGTGGATGATTTTAGTTTATTTCCTCATAGTCAAAGTAGGCTAAAAGTCCAAATTCAGGGCGTCAGCTCCAGGGGAAGGCTTTTCCTCTGTCAGCCTTCTCCTCGGTGTTCCCCCAGACTAGGAGCTTCTTTGCGCAGGGACCCCGGTCCAAAGGACGCGCTCTGCTCTTGGCACTGCTTTCTTGATGGTATAAGGTCCCCCTGTCTCTCTGCTCACCTCTGTCTTTTATATCTCAAGAGATTGCCTCAGGACACAATCCAGTCTTGTAGATCACGTCCTCCCCTACTAACACAACTGCCACCCATCCTCCCTCATTAACATCATAGAGGCAGGTTTACAACATACAGGAATATCTCACAGTACCAGGAATCATGGCCTAGCCAAATTGATACACACATTTTTGGGGGGACATAATGCAAACCATGACAGCAACTAACAGGGTGGTGATGCCACTAACAGAGACAAAACCAAACAAAACCCGCTGCCGTGGAGTAGATTCCGACTCACAGTAACCCCAAAAGACAGAGTACAACTGCCCCATATGGTTTCCGAGGCTTTAAATCTTTGCGGAAGCAGAATGCCACATCTTTGTCCTGCAGAGCGGCCTTTCAGTTAGCAGCCGACCCTTCAGTTAGCAGCCGAGTGCTTTAACCACTGCTTCACAGAGACAGAGGAACTGGAAAGGGGTACTTGAAATAACTTTCCAGACTTTGAACTATGAAGTGCACCTCTGTTCTATCAGAAAAATACTGCATGCTAGTAGCACTTGGCTACTAACCAAAAGGTTGGCAGTGCAAATCCACCCAGAGGCACTTCGAAAAGTCAGTCCTGAGGATTTGCTTCTGAATGGTCACAGCCTTGAAAACCCTACGGAGCTGTTTTACTCTGCACACACGGTGTTGCCAGGAGTTGGAATTAACTCAAAGGCAACTAACAATATACAGGACTTAGTTTAAAATACAGCAGCAAAAAGGGGAAAAAAAGGTGTGGAGGGCAAAGCGGAAACAAGAATTGCAGAATATTGATAGTTACCAGGTGATGAGAATAAAGAGGCTCATTATACTACTCGGTATATTTTTTGGCTTAATAATGTAATAAAAAATTTATTTAAACAAAGACAAAAAAAGAACATGCTACTGACATCCAGTGTTCACTATACCTTTACTTTGAAATGTTTATTTTCTGTACTAATGAAGGTTGCAAGGAAAAAAAAAAGTCCAACTATAATATAAAATTATTGAGGTCTTACTGTTATTTTGTCAGAAATGATATGTCCTCAACAAATAAGTTGCCCTAGCAGTAAAGCTAATTAACTTTAGCAAAGAACCAGTTCAGAGACAGTATGGCACTCACTTACTACTACTGTTAAACAGTGAGCTTATCACTTGTTTTTTACATGCCATTAAAATAGTAACTAACCAGTTGTCATCAAGTTGATTCCAACTCATGGCAACCACATGTGTGTCAGAGTAGAACTGTGCTGCTTAGGGTTTTCAGTGGCTAGTTTTTTGAAATTAGATCACCAGACCTTTTTTCCAAGGCACATCTGGGTGGAATCGAATAGCCAACTTTTCAGTTAGCAGTTTAGGGACTCCAACCAGACTCCAGCATTAAAACAGTAACACTATACCTATTCCATTTGTAAACAACAGAACAGGAGTCTCCAGGTGGTACACGAGGCTAATGTGCTTGGCTGCTGACAGAAAGGTTGAAGGTTCAAGTCCACCGAGAGGTGCCTCAGAAGAAAGTCCTGGCAATCTACTTCTGAAAAATTCAAAAAAGCCATTAAAAACCCTATGGAGCACAGTTCTATTCTGAAATACACGGAGTCATCATGAGTGCGGAACTGACTTGATAGCAACTGGTAAACATTAGAACACTATTCAAGAGTGAGGCATCAGTGACCTCTGATTGCCAATAGCACATACACAAAGCTGCAGTCAAATCTGTTTTTACAGGTTTTTCAAAGTCCTTTTCTGTACCCCTCTCTACCTCCTAATCAGCAACTTGGCAATCTACTTTCAAAAACAAGCAAATACTAGCAATGCAGAGGTCCCCTTACTGTGTCACTCCCAAAAGTCAAATGAGAAAGCCACTTACTCAAACTAGTTGATGATACCAGAAAAAAATTATAAATGCTTTTCCAACATTAACAGTTGAAGAGGCCTGACTTCCAGTTACAGCTTCCATCAATCTAAATGAATGACGTTGGGCCTGTCCCTTATCACTGGGCTTTACTTCCTACCTTCTGTGTAAACCGGGAGTCCCTTCGTGGTGTAAACGGTTAACATGCTCAGCTACTAACGAAAGGTTGGAGGTTCAAACTCACCCAGCCGTTGAAATCCCTATGGAGCACAACTCTACTCTGATGCACACAAGGTCTTTCCCAACACAATCCTATGTATTCATCTCTTTCTTCTAGTTCTTTTATGTTTCTGTTTTCACATTTAACTCTGTAATACATTTTGGTGCAATGCATCTAGCTTTTTGTCCCTCCCAAATGTCAGCCACTGAAAATCCTATGGGACAAGTTCTACTCTGAAACACTTGGGGTCATCATAAATCAGAATCGACTGACAGCAACTGGTTTTTAGTATTCTGTGTAAACTCAAGGGGTTAGCTTCCAGGAGGTGAAGGCAACTTAGCAAAATGTATCAAAGGACTAAAAAATATTCATACTCTTGGATCCAACAGTTCCACTTTTAGAAAGTGAGCTCAAGGAAATAACAGATGGAACAATGGGCCAGCTTTTGCAATGGTTTTTGTTTTTTTTAATTAATTACTTACCTAATCTAACAAAGAGGGTAATAGTTAAATAAATTATAGTCATTCATATGACTATTATAACACCATAAAAATCTTGTTTTCAGAGAATATGTAATCACATGGAAAAATGCTCCCTGTTTTGAAATATACAATATATATAATACAAATTAAATTAATAAATTCATTTTAAAAATCAATAGTGGCTATTTCCAAATGGTAGAGTTAAAGATGCTACTTATTTTCTTCTCTGCAAATTTTCACTATTTTCTAAATTTTCTACCCAGACTATATAGAACTGTTAAAACTAGTGTTATACCCATGAAGAGACTGACACAAATGATCTAGATACTAGGCAGTTTTACCTTGCTCTTGGAATACATTCTCCTAACATCCAGACTGCCTGCAACTTAGACGATTTCAACCAGTATTTAAAATACCAACATAAAGCATATACTCCAACAAGAACTTTATAAGAATACGTTTTTAATTATTAAACAAAAAGTTCAAGTTCAATACGCCACAATGATAAAATTCTTTAGAATTAGAGCTTGTCTTTTACCATTCAGTCCCTGGGACTAAATGGTTCATCATTATTAAATAAATCAACCTTATCAGCTATTGTTTTACTGCAGAAATTGCTGCTGAAATAATATTCTTCAAGATATTTACACAGAACAGGGTAAAATACCTTATATAAACAAGCGCATAATTTCCCTCCTAGATTCCTACAAATTTTCTGAAGGAAGAGATTTAGGTCCTACCACCAACTGGATGGGGACGATGGATTCTGAACCTTGGTTTCTCCATCGGTGAAATAAGGTTCACTAAATGGACTGACATTCCACAAGATTACTTCTACTTCACTTTCACAGGAGTCCGGGGAAGCCTACACCGGCCAGCTCCACAGCCAGGATGGGCGGGAAATCCCCGCAGCAAGAGGCAGCCCAGAAGGGCAAGCGAAATATTCAGAGATTCGACACGCGTCCTCAGATCCCCAGGGGTCCACCCGGTCTCCGTCTCGGGCCACCGCCGCCGAGAACCGAAAGTGGCGGGATGCAGCCGAGTTCTCTTCTGCAGAGGAAGGGTCCTCGCGGCCCTTCCCCTCATCCTGAGAGGCCTCCCGCCGCAAGGCCAAGCGATCGCCCGCTCCCTGAAAGCCCGGCCTCCCGAAAGGTTCCCGCACGGACTGTCGCCCTCACCCGGCGCTCACCAGGGGTCCGGTGCCATCGTGCAGCCTCCACCAGAAGCTGGGATACTTCCTGCTCGCAGCAGCTGACTACGGCGGCCCGCGCGGCTCACACCCCGCGGTTCGGCCCGTGCGCGACTGGAGCCTGGAGTTTGCCAAGCGTATGAACAGACAGCACTAGGGCCTAGAAACTGCACTAAAAAAAGAAGAAACCGTTCCCTCGGGCAACAGTAGGTTGCAGCAATCTGTGTCTATTGAGAAACCCAAACTTTTATGTGCAATTAAAATAAAATTGCAGTTGAACAAAATCGAAGCATTTTCCCAGGAAGGTAGGAGCACCTTAAGACCTTTCCGTGCTGTTGTGTGCCTTGGAGTCGGTTCTGACTCATAGCGACCCTACAGGACAGAGGACAACTGCCCTATAGGGTTTCCTAGGCCGTAATCTTTAAGAAATCAGAGCGTCACATCTTTTCTCCCGCAAAGCTGCTGATGAGTTTGAACCGCCGACCTTTCGGTTAGTATCTTAGCGCTTAACCACGTTATTTAAAATTTTATCCTGCTTTAAACAAGGGGTCGAACGAAGTATCAATTATGTACTATTTTATAGGACACAGTAGAACGGCCCCATAGTTTCCAAGGAGCGGCTGGTGGATTCAAACTGCCAAACTTTTGGTTAGTAGCAGAGCTCTTAATCACTGTGCCACAGGGCTCCCTTCCCATCAGAGGCAATCCTCTAAACTGGATTATAAAGAAAAAAAAAATCCCACTAGGTGCTTGATTATGTAGTTACCAAGAATGTCACAGGCTCTACATAGGGAGTGTCAGTTCTGTGCATTTAGTCCCTCCTAAAGTTCCAGAGAAAGAGAGGAATAATTAGCCTTCCATTTGCAAGAAGGAAAATGAACCGGACCACCGCTGACAAGGTTTCAAGAGCGTAGATCTGGTGCGCCTGCGCGCGGCCGTTACCATAACGACCAGAAGACGCTGCACTGGCTACAGGACTAAAACGAAAGTGAGCCGAGTCGTCCGGTGATGGAAACCCAAACTTCGCCCCAGGCCGAGGTGGCCGAGCTGGAGCTTGAGGCGGTGATCGGCTTCAATGGTGAGGCCTCGAGTATCCTGGGCTGGGTAGTTTAGGAACCCCCGGAACGTGTAGCGCATACAGGGACTGTGAGACACTGGTTAGTACCTGGGGTGGGGATGGGGTGAGCGTCATTGGCAAAAGCCCTGGCCGGGGGCCCAGCCTGGCCTCTCCTGTCCGAAGACCTTGGAGAGTCACTCCCTCCCTCCGAGCTGGACACGCTCTACCCCCTAAACCAAAACCAAACCAAGCCCACTGCCGTGGAGTCATTTCCGACTCATACCGACCCTATAGGACAAGAGTAGGTTTCCAAGGCTGTAAATCTTTATGGAAGCCACCTGCCACATCGTTCCCCCGCACAGCGGCTGCTGGGTTTAAACCACCTACCTTTTGCTTAGTAGCTGAGTTGTTTAATTCCTGCGCCACCAGGGCTCCTCCTCTAGCACCTAAAAGGAACTAAATGCCTCTTGGGGCTGGAAGGATGAGTAACGGGAGTAGGGGTTGGCTCTGCCCAAAGAGGTAATGAGGAGAGTTTTGTCTTTTAACCCTTCTCCCACTAGGTCAGCCCTCCGTGGTTCTAAGTCCACGCAGCCCGCAGAGCACCGGCCTTCGGTAACCACCGAATGCTGTCCTCTGTGCCGGCCTCTAGGTTCCCGTCAGAAATGTAAAATCCCAGCTGATGTACTAATGAGAAAGGGCTGGGGAGGGAATGTGTGTTTGAGCAACCTCTTTAGAAGATGATCTTGGTCATCTAACCCAAGAGAACGATTTCAGGCCGCCATTTGGAGCCCTGGTGATGAAGTGGTTAAGAGCTCAGGTTGGTAACCGAAAGGTCAGCAGTTCGAATCCACCAGCCCTTCTTTGGAAACCCTACGGAGCAGTTCTTCTCTGTCCTATACAGTCGCTATGAGTCGGAATCGACTGGACGGCAAGGGGTTTGGGTTTTTTGTTTTTGTATAGAAACGGAGGGGATCCACGGGAACTGGAGGGGAGAGATGTTTTGGTCAGAGGAAGCCTTGTCGCTTTGTTAAAATCTTATTTTTGATTATGACTGCCTGTTTGTTTTGAACAAGGAGCCCGGGTGGCACAGTGGTTAAGCGCTCGGCTGCTAACGAAAGGTGGATTCGAACCTACCATCCCCGCTTTGTGGGGAGAAAGATTTGGCAGTCTGCTTCGGTAAAGATAAACCAAAAAAAAAAAAAAAAAAAAGCGAACCCATTGCCGCGAAGTCATTAATAGCGACCCTATAGGACAGAGAAGAACTTCCCTATAGGGTTTCCTGAGGCTGTAAATCTTTGCAGAAGCCGATTGCCACATCTTTCTCCGTGGAGCAGGCTGGTGGGTTCAAACCACGAACCTTTTGGTTGGCAGCCAAGGGCTTAATCTCCGGTCTTCTCTCTGTAAAGACCACAGCCTTGGAAACCCTATGAGGGCAGTTCTAATCTGTCCTGTAGGGTCACTATGAGTGGAATCGACTGGCGGGCAACAGTTTGGTTTTGGATTATTTTGAACGTAAAGGAGTAGGGGGGATGGTGTGAGTTTTGTTATTGTTGTTGTTTGTTTTGGGGGGATGGGTTGAGGGGTTGGGGGATGAAGAAAGTAATGGATTACACTTTAGAGAAAGCAAAGGCTTTTTTTTTTTTTCCAAAAGTACATCTTGATGCTTGAAAACTTTAAAATTCTAATAATGTGGGCAGCAGAATAACCAATGCCTGTTTAAAGTTTTAACACAGTCTAGGACTTGACTTTTGACTCTCATCTTCATTTTACCTTGACAGTCTGATAAAAAGTGGGCACTTAGTATACACGAATTATTGCCCAACCTTGGAGCTGGTTACAATGTCGTTTGTAAAGGTAGTGAGTGGCCAGCAGTGAGTGCTAAAGGCACTAGTGAACCAGTGTAGCTCCTCACACAGACAGCTCTGCAGCTAAATTCAGGCTGCTTTGTGGTGCTCTAAGAGTAAACATTTGATAATTTGTATCCCAATGTCTTTTATGGCCATTACTAATCATCTTTGCCTTTTAGAATGGCTTAAACTGATTGAATTGTTTTTTACCTTCTTGGTTTTGTGATTGTCGATATTCCTTCACATGGGTAGATATACATTTATTTAGAAATATTATATGCCAAATACTATGCTATGTGTGACAATACAGGGGTAAATGCATAAACATACTTAGGAAGATGAGTTTAGAAAATTGGAAAAATACAGTGAAACAAAAAGAAAAACAATTATCATTACACTGCCCAAAGATAACTCTGTTAAACTTTTGATATGTTCTTTTCATCTCTACACTTACATATAAATATGTTTTTTAATAAAAGTAGACTCATGCTATATATATTGGCTTATAACCAGATTTTTTCCACTTAATAGTATGATGTGCACATTTTTCCTTAGCAACAAGTATACTCTATGCCATATTTTTAATATCATATTGTAATATAATATTCCATTGCATAGGCATGCTATAATGTATTGAAGCAATATCCTCTTGTTAAGAATTTAGCATAATATCCATTTTTGCATTTATTTTTAAATGCTACAAAGAACATCTGCAGAGCTAAATCTTTTGCCTTTGTAACTTTTTTCTGTAGGATAAATTCTGAGTATGTGTTAGACTTTTGATGTATCTTCAAAATGCTGTATCATATACACAACAGAAATATGTACATATATGCATCAAAAACATACAGGAATATTTATACTAGCATTATTTCTGATAGTCAAAAAACTATCAACAACCAAGATGCCCATCAAAAACAGAAAGGATCAATCAACTGGTATTTTCATACAATGGATTTATACAGCAATGAGAAAGAATGAACTACTGCTCCACGCAACGACATGGATGAATCTCACGAACGTAATATTGAGTGAAAAAGCCAGACACCAAGGAGTACATGCTGTATAATTCCTTTCATATAAAGTTCCAAAACAAGGAAAATTTATCTGTAGAAATAAAAGTTAGAACCTTGATTACCTTTGGGGAGAGGAAGACAGGGAGAAGACACAAGGGAGACCCCCGAGTTTTTGTATTCAGTGCAAGAAGCTTACTGAACGCTATTCTAAACCAGTTGCCGTTGAGTCGATTCTAATTCGTGGCAGCCCTGTGTGTGTCAGAGTATAACTGTGCTCCGTAGGGTTTTCAGTGACTAAGTTTTCAGAAGTAGATCAACAGGCCTTTCTTCTGAGGTGCCTCTGAGTGGACTTGAACCACTAGCCTTTTCGTTAGCAGTGCATGTGTTAACTGTTTGCACTACCAAGGGGCTCCAATGTTATTCTACTCTCATAAAAGAGAATAGGCAAAGCTTTATATGAGAATTCGGGAGAAAGTTTCTATTTTAGGCTTGAAAGAAGTCAAGGAAGGGTTAATTCAAGCAATCTTTAAAATTGAGTAGGAATCAACGGGTAAAGATTGAGGGGCAGAATATTCTAGGTTGTAGGGGTAGGGTAAGCAAAGGAGGAAGAGTGGAAAGTATGGTGGGACTGATGGAGGAATGGCAAATAACTCAGTGTGGCATCAGGGTTAGGGACTGTCAGGATAACACAGGAAAGTCAGCCTGGAGTTAGATTTTCCGTTGCCATTGAGTTGATTCCAACTCATGGAGACCCCATGTGTGTCAGATTAGGACTGTGCTCCAGAGGGTTTTCTTGGAGCAAATAACCAGGCCTTTCTTCTGTGGAGCCAGAGCCATTGGGTGGGTTTGGAGTGCCAACCTTTCTTTAAGTTAGTAGTCAATTGCAAACCGTTTGCACCACCCAGGGGTGCAGTTAGATTTGGGAGGCCTTAATTACCAGGTCATTGGATTTGGATTCCACATGGAAACAAGAAGCAAAGCAAGGCCCTTTTTATCATTGTGACACTAGCATTCACTATAGTGTTATGTTATAGTTTATGAATGTTAACTCTGAAGGGTATAAATATGTTACTGCACTTGACTCTTCTACATATTATATTTGTTATGGATTGAATTGTGTTCTCCCAAAATATGTGTTGGCCCCCAAGACTATGGCCTTAAGACACCCTGCTGACCTAGAACTGAAGCCATTCCCAGAGATGGCCTTTCAGCCAAACCATAGACAGGCCCATAAAATAAACAGTAACACCCTAGGGGAACGTGTTCCTTAGAAACAATAAAAGAGCAAAAGGACAACATTTGCCCAAAAGCAAAGATGAGAAGACAGGAAGGGATAGAAAATTGGATGAAAGGAACAGGGAACCTAGGACAGAAATGAGGAGACTGCTGACACATTGAGGGGAATGCAGTCAAGGTCATGTAACACTCTTTGTACAAACTATTGAATGGGAAACTAATTTGCCCTGTACAATTTCACCTAAAGCATAATAAAAAAATTTAAAAAAAAAAAATGTATTGGAATACTAACCCCTAAACCTGTAGATGCAATCCTGTTTGGAAATACAGTAAGATTTTCTTTATTATGTTAGTGAAGCCACCCTAGTGTAGGGTGTGTCCTAAACCCAATCACTTCTGAGTTATAAAAAAAAGCAGATTAGACACAGAGGCATGCACCAAACCAAAAACCAAACCCATTGCCGTTTACCCAATTCTGACTCATAGCTACCCTATAGGACAGAGTAGAACTGCCCCATAGGGTTCCCAAGGCTGTGATCTTTATGAAAGCAGACTGCCACATCTTTCTCCCAAGGAGCAGCTGGTGGGTTTGAACTGCTGACCTTTTGGTTTGCTGTCGAGCACTTAACCACTGTGCCACCAGGACTCCTCGACACATGCACACGAGGGGGAAAATAGATGCCACGTGAGGATCAGCTACAAGTCAAGGATCACTAAAGAACCAAAGAACGCCTGAGGCTCCCGAGAAGGAAGGAATCCCTCATTTGGACGTTTAGCTGCCAGAACCGTGAGAAAATAAATTTCTGTTCTTTAAAGCCACTTGTGGTATTTGTGTTACAGCAGTACCGGGTAACTAAGACAGTATTTTTATAGGAATTCGTTATTTAAGCAAATCAAATATAGCTGTGTTGAATATGAAAAC